CTGATCAGCATCAATAAAAAATTTATTTTATAACTGTGATTATTCTCTACAATATATTTACATAAATACATGAAAATATCAAAGGAAAATCTTTTAAAGTAAAAGGTCTTAAATATATTAAACTCCTCGTATCTGAACAACCAATAAAGCATGCGTATAGTGGTGGGTTGTGATTGTTACTTTGTCACTGTTACAACGCTGTTACAGTCGCAGTCCGCTTCAGCTGGAATAATGTAGCAGTGACATTCAGTCACGTTTTATTCTACTGTGACTGCACCACTTCGGTCTGGTGTATGCTATACAAGGCGTTGCGCTGGTCCATAGATCGTATTTGCGACAGTGACAAGCCTTGTCGACGGACGGAGCATTTTCGAAATGGAGCAGTCCCATATGGTAACTGTGACTATTATTTGCTATTTGTAACATAAGGAACGACGTGGTTGAGCGTGGGAAAATAGCAGCGTTAAAAATCCTTTAAAATATGGAATAAAAAACGGAATATACAATATTAAATATCAAAAATTTAAAGTTCGCTATTGGCATTTAAATACATTAATTTTTCCACTTTATTTACACTAAGGCGTGATCGTCTTTCTGATATTAATTGACCTGATTTGGAGAAGATACGCTCACAAGGGACAGATGTTGCAACCGTACCAAATTTTTCTATTACCACTTGAGAAAGATGTGGATAATTGTAAGTGTTCACGCCACCATTAAAGTGGATCTTCATCTCTGTCTGCCAGTTCTTTCTCTAAGTATCGCTGGACCTCAATTATGGCCCTAGATGTGGCAGGTACTATACTCTTTGATGAAAACGTAGCAGCTTTTTTTACAAAATGGCCCCATACAGAAGGCTGACCAGCAGAACGATTTTCTGTATTGTCGTCTGTGGAAGTGGAAGGAAATTGCTTTGTTTCCTTGGATTTGGAAGCTGATTGGGACATTTTCGAGTTACTAATTTAATAACTAATTGCTTTGCTCGCTCATCTACATGATCGGAAGTAAATCCGACATTTTTAAATCTAGGATCCATGCAACTAGACACTAGCAAAGTTTGCGAATTTTCCAAGTCTACCAGACGATCCGAAATACCTTTTAAAACCTGTTCAACCAGACTTTGAATTAATAGCAATAGATTTTCATTTTTCATATTAATATAAATATCTTCTAGTCCTTTTATCAAAATCATCACTGAGGATAAAGTCACATACTTTTGTCCACTTATTATTTTGGTCACTTCTTCCATTGGTTTTAAGCACATTCTTAATTGTTGAAGTAGCTGCCATTCTTCAATTGATATTATGGGAAGATTACTTACATTTAATAAAGCCACAGTAGTGCGAACTTCTTCCTCCAAGTCCAAAACTCTATCTAGCATGTAAAAAGTGGACTTCCACCTTGTCGTTACATCTTGAATAAGTTTTTTTGGATTCTTTCCGATCTGTCTTTATACTTCTATTAATCTGTAACAGGCATTAGTACTTCTTTTAAAATGTGCTACTAATGTGCGTATTTTAGTGACAACTGGTGAAACTATTTTTAACCCATCCTGTATAATTAAGTTATAGTGTGAGCGTAGCATCCAAAATAATTCCATGCTAGGTTTTCTTTTATTGCCTTCGTAACATTTGGTGCGTTATCTGATATAGCTAAAAGAATCTTTGATTCCAATCCCCATGTAGTTACAATACGATTGAGTTCAGTAGCTAAATTAGCACTTGTATGTTGCATAGGAAAAGAGCAGCATTCTAGTAATACCGATTTCGCCCTAAAATCCTCGATTACAAAATGGATTGTGACTTAAAACTTTCAGCATTTCTGGAGGTCCAACTATCTGTCGTTAGTGTAACATTCTGCTGAAGATTCTTTATTAAGTTTTCAACCTCGGTATATTTCTCCTCATACATTGCAGGTAACAAAGTACTTGATAGATATTTCCTGCTCAGCAATTGATACGATAGGTTAAGCATTTGCACAAAATTTCTAAATCCTCGATCTTCTACGATGGTAAAAGGCTGCATATCTTTGGTAAATAGATCCATTAAGCATTTGTCTAATTTGGTTTTTGTATGGATAGCTATAGTTTTTGGCATAAACGTCAATTTTGCTTGAGATGTTTTTTGTTTAGTAGTTGTAAAAGGGCTTACTTTACTATTTTCCGGCATTTGTTTTCGTTCAGAGGTTTGTGATGTAGACGTACTTGGACTGTTTTCTGCTTGAATCTCACTGCTGACATCTTTTGTAACTTTTGTTGTTGATTTTTCAGAGTTTTGTAACTAACAACTTGTTTACATAAATTACACTTTGCTACCGTATCACTCTCCTTTGAAAAAAATTCCACAGAAACGACGTCTTTTTTTGGTTCATTGTTTATATGGTAGGTAAACAAAATAATAAAGTAAATAAAAACTGACTACTCGGTGCTTTGGGATTTCATGTACTGTTTTCTGAACGAATACGAAATAACTACGAATGAGTAGGCACTATTCAATAATTATTTTATTTGAAAAAAATTTATGTGATAACGATGGGTAACACACTAAATTTTTGGGTGTTGATACAGCAACACTGACGGAGTTTATTGTATCAACTCAGTGTGTCAACACAATTTTGTCATAAAACACAGTAAGCCATTGACACTGCCTGAAAATTTGAAACCTTCCCTAAGCTGGAACATCTGTTTTGCATTTACTTAAGAGCTGGGCGAGACTGACCGAGAGTCGATCTTTTCACAAATAAAACCTTTTTGGGAACAAAGGACACAAAGCGATAATAGATCAGACAGGTTGGAAACTCAAAATGTGTTTGTTGATTTTTACTGCGACGTTGTCATTTTTTGACAGCAGTCCGAGATTTGCAGAAAAAGCTAAAAGAGTGAAAAAATTACGGAGAAAAATATGCGATATTTTCGTGAGATATAAATCAAAGTGATAAGAGAGATTGTAGAAGTGATAAGGTGGGAAAGAGAGAGAAAGAAGAATATATTCGGTCTCGAAGATAGACAAAAATATTTTAATAGTTTTAAAACGTTCGAATAATTATTTGAACCTCACTGTTACAGAAATAAATGAACTTTGGTGAGGTATGTAACGTTTGTTATATTTTTAGATTTTTGACAGAATGAAAATAAAGTCAAATGCTTGTATTGTGGGCAAACATTATGTGTCAAAAATAAATTAACTTCTTCTTTAATCAGACACATGAATCAGAGATATCTAATGCAGCAAATCAAAACGGCAAAGAATCGAACATAATGGTGTTAAATGATGCCCAACCTTTCCACTTCAAAACAACCTACAACATTAGAACTTGTTGAATCTACATCATCGATAGTGCAACCTCATTCATCAACTTCTACCTCGTCTAGTATATTAAAACAACCTCAAACTATAACCGGTATTTTCCAAAGACCTTTGGCTATCAGCAAACAAAAAGAAATAAACCAACAATTAATTGTTATGATTATGTTATGATTTAAGAGACTATTATTTTTATTAAATCCAAATTATAAGGCTCCTACCAGAAAAACTCAATCATTTCAGCTTTGTACAATCAAACAGTTGATCTTGTTAAAACACGGGTGGAAAGAGCTTACGCAGTGTGTCTCACGACTGACAGTTGGACGTCACGTTCAAATGAGAGTTTTTATAGTGTTACCGCGCATTACGTAGTAGAAGAGGATAAAAAAACATTTTTATTCTCAGATCTGTTAGCATGTGTATCTTATGAGGGCTGACATACTGCTGAAAACATTCAAAACAAAATTCAGCGTCTAATAGCCGAGTGGAAACTAGACAACAAAATTGCTGCCGTTGTTACCGATAATGCGGCGAATATGAAAGCTGCTGTGCGCATTGGTGGTTGGTAATCTTGGGGATGCTTTGCTCATTCCCTAAACCTCGTTAGCCAATCAGGTTTAAAGGAAATGAGAGAAGTAGTAGAAAAAATAAAAAATATTGTAAGCTATTTCCGACGAAATAGCCATGCATTAGCTTAATTCAATGCATTAGAGCGAATGGATATACCATCACTAAAGTTAAAAAATGATGCAGTTACGCGATGGAATTCCACATTTGATATGATTAAGAGAATTTTACAGATAAAAAATACAATCATATCAACATTGGCAGTTTTAAATAGTTCAGCTACAGAATCTGTTGCGCCTCTACAAAACGAAGACTGGACTATTGCTGAACAGTCCATTAAAGTTCTTGAAATTTTTAATTTAGTTACAACTGCCATAAGTTCCGAGCAAAAAGTTAGTGCTTCGTCAATAATATTTTATTACAAATAAATTACGAAACACGCGAATTCGTTTGACATAAATACAATGATGCCTTAGGTTCAAAATATGGTAAAAAAAGCTGCAATTTGAACTAATACAAAGATTTTCAGACATCGAGGAACATAGTTTAATATCTCAAGCAACAATCTTGGACCCCAGATTTAAAAAATTTTCTTTCATAGAAGAAAGACAGTATCTCAAAGCAGTAGAGGATTTGTACAGCAAGGTAGCCAACACCAAATTATCCACACAAAAAGAAAATGAAAAGGAAAATATTGAACAACCAATTCAAAATATATCGTATAAGGAAGATCTTCTTCGAAATTCATGGAAAGATTTTGACAAGGAAGTTCAACAGCACCAACAACCAAGCAACCCAACAGCGTCAGCGATTGTTGAGGTAGACAAATATTTAGAAGAGATCATTTTACCGAGAAAAGAAAGCTTCGGTATATCCCAGATTCCTCTATTGTGGTGACACCAAAGAAAGCACATTTACCCAAAATTATAGCAAATTATGAAGACCAGGCTTTGCATTATGGCTACATCTGTCTCGTGTGAAAGGATATTTTCTAAAGCCGGACAGATAGTCAACGAAAAGCGAGAGAGATTAAAGACGGATAAAATATCTCAAGTGATTATTTAAGTTATAACTTAAACAATAAGGAATAAGTAGGTGTACATTTTTTTATTTTAAAATTTTTGTTTTGTTGCGTTAACCTAGATTTAGATTTTTTTTTTGTAGATATCTTTATTCTTTCTTTAGCGTTTAGTATATCTCCACTGTTTTTTAAGTTAACTATATTTATTTATATCTTCTTCTTCTTCTTTGGGTGCCGTGTCCGTATTCAGACGTTGGCCGTCATCATGTTTACAATATCCTGAATAATATATATATATATATATATATATATATATATATATATATATTTAAATTTATTTTTTAAAATTATCTGTAGGACTTTAAAATATATAAAACGTGGCAACCAGGTAAATTATGGATGTTTGGAATAATAACTTCAACCCAATTATTTAAGGTCTTTAACTTAACTCTACTCCCACCCAGAATGTTTCGTCGCGACACGGTTTAACCATGTGTGTATATGTTGCAATAGTAGCAGGGTAGCAGTTAATATTAAACTGCTCCAAAAAATCACTGCTTTTTGTCACCGTGACAATACTGTAGCAGTCACATTTTGTTACAGCTACACAAAAATCGCAGGTTGGCCCACCACTACATGCGTACCTTTCTTATCGATAAAAGAAGTCGGTATTACAGTTGATTTTTGAATTTGTAATTCAATTTACAGTATTCGCCAAAAAAATAGTACTGAAAGTCAACATTGTATTTGCAAAATGCGCAACATTGCGGTTGAAACAAGCTTCATAACTGTTTTGTAGATTATCCAACCTATTTATAAAGAGTTGTTAAGGCAGTTGTTGAAAACAGGTTATTATCTTTTGTCGCAGTTCTCTAATATCTGCTTACCGAACTTCTGACTTTGATTCTTTCAGCATGGCCAAATACATCACATCTATACGTTAGGTGTTGTCAGAACAATTTTCAAAATGTTACTGTTACTCGTTCACTGTAAAATGGTTTCTCTACAATAACATCTAGGCGTTCAAATCCAAGAAATGGAGTTGTTTACTTACTAATATAACCGTTGAAGTGAATGTGACTTTCTTACATACATACTTCAAGAAATTGATATTTTCGTACACTAGACTCAACACTCGGCCACAGTAAACTTATCTTGCACGTTTGTTTGCAACTTTTAGTGTTTATCCAATTTGAAAGCGGTAAGGATAACCACCAAGAGATTTGAACAGTCGACGTGTAGATATTTCACTGATATTTAGTTTACAAGCAGTACGTCGAAGGCTTCGTTTTGGAGACTGTAAGATCTGATGGAGAACGCCTCCTTGATTATTGTTGGCAAGAACTGTTTTTAGATAAACGAAAGAGCCCTTGAGCTAACACAACACACTACCAGTGTGTTTTCGTATAGGCGGAAATAATATTCTACTATAAACACTTTCTCGACAGTTGTAAAAAACATTTCCACGACAGTTAAACCCCCCAAATAAATTGGTATTGCGTACTATCAAGCTTCGATAGTATTTATTTTTGGCGAATACCGTATTTTCAGTTTTAATCACTTCCTGTTACCATCATATGAACCTTTCTATCCGATTGTATCATTTTTGCGCTTTTTTCTGTTCCCACAATAGCCGAAAGCTGGTATATATCATACTTAGAATACATAACAGAAACTGTCATGTTTGATACTCCGCCAGACTTCTTGTTTAGATTATTTTCTTGCAATAAATTGCACATTTCGTAATAAAAATTTGGGAAAGTTGGTGGTTGATAAAAGACTATATGCCTTATTCCTTTAATTCTTCTCCGATGGAAAAAGTGGAATCTCTCCGTGTATAAAAGAAAATGTGCATCGCCGTGGAAGAACATATCTCTCGCTCTAGCCACTTTTCCTTCCTAAAAATAATAAGTGTAATAAAAATAATAATAATATAAATTAAAAAAAAATACAATAAACAATAAACATTTCTACAAATTCCTTTAACAACAACTATATCTCTTTTCAACATAAATATTCGACAAAAAAAAGCAGTTTAAGTTTATATCAGAAATTACATACTAAATCGAAGAATTGTAAAACAAAAATGTTTACGGCATTGAAACAAAATCGGATCGTTGGAAAATCAGCAACATGTTTTATATATGAAATATGGTAAGCAAGAACAAATTACAAAAAAAATCACCAATAAAATTAGCGCTGTAATAAAACTAGAAGATGCGACAGAGGCTTTAGAATTGGAAACACCATTCATAGACGTATGTTTCTTTTGTCAACTAGATGAGAAATTAACTGAATGTAATAAAGCAGGTTGCTTATTACTAACGGATTAAAATGGCCTATCTGGTATGGTATTAACAAACAATTTGTACATGAATTATATCACAAGTTTTATTTACTATAAAACCGCAAATTTCCGTATTTTATCCACATATTAAGAAATTATGTTATCACAATGAAGTGATTTTTGAAAAAGACTTTTAAACTTTTGAAAAGTATTTTTCGTCGGAACATCCGCGTAGTTCGGTAGTGATCTTTGTACAAAACAACATTTAAAAAAGTACGTGTGTGCCTGACCAAAGATGCTGTTAGTAGAACTTTCAGTAAAACAGTTGCGTGAGCAATTAGAAGAACAAGATGAAGACTGCAGCGGTTCCAACAAAGTACTCCAAGAACGACTGAAGACTGTTCTCAACCAGAATGGAGACGACCCAGAGACATTCCAGTTTCAATCAGGAGAAGCCGTTTTAACTAAAATAATTGATGGAAAATTCGAGAATGTTTCCAAAAGATTCGATGAAACGTCTCAAATGATGGAAGAAACTTCTAGAAAAAATTATGATAAACTAGAGAACGTTTCCAAAAGATTCGATGAAACGTCTCAAATTATTAAAGAAGTAGCTAGACAAAAAGACGAGAAACTCGAAAATATTTCTAGAAGATTCGACCAGAGATTTGAAAATGTTTCTCAAATGATGGAAGAAACTTCTAAAAAGAACAATGAGAAATTTGAAGAAGTTTCGAAAACATTCGATAAAATAGAAGAGAAGATCAAACACTTAGAAAGCATGATAAATAATATAAAAATGCTACCACCACCACCAATTATGTAATAGTTTTAGATCCGGTAGTGAAAGAAGAATCACCTAGAGACGAAACGACACATCATATGAGATTCAAATTGGCATCATTTGATGAAAAGTCCTCTTGGTCCATATACCTAAGACAATTTGAAGCTATTGCGAGAGCCAATCATTGGACAGCACAAGAAAAAGCTGTTTTCTTGACTGCTGCTTACGAGGTGTTGCTGTGGATATCCTAAGATCGATTCCTAAGGGGCAAGAAAAATGTTACCAGACCTTGTTCACTCGACTAGACAAACGTTACTGAGCAGATGTACTCGTATAGTGCCGTTAGCCTATCCAGAGGCACCGGACATTTTGGAAGAAATTGCTGTAGATATCTTTGTCAAAGGGTTAAAAGACAACGAATTATAGAAAGCTTTACGACTAACAAGACCGCAAGTTCTAGATGAAGCGCTCGCTATTGCCTTGCAACATGAAACGGCTAGTCAAACTTCAGGGACCCATCGAGTAAGAACCATTGAAGAAGACAAGTAGTTCGTAACATGATACCGAAGAGACGCGAGCCCAGATGTTGGAATTGTGGTAACGTAGGTAACATTCGCCGTAATTGCAAAAAAAATGATACAACGGTAGGAAAACTAGAACGGGTCGACACCAAGGGGCAACTGCCGACCACGAGAAACACAGCCCCCATAATAACTGTGAACATTACGTCCTCCGGTGGAATTCATAGCTTGTACATCGAGGATCGTATCAATAATAAAAGTAGATCGTTTTTGATAGATACAGGTGCAACAAGAACTATTGAACATCCAGAAGTAGTACGAGGCCAATTATCGCTTGTAACAGTAAAGCTTAGAACAACAACTGGTGAGATAATTAATACATATTGCGAGGCTAGTATGTCAGTATCCATTGGTCAGGCCACAGTGAAAAGAGTATTAATTGCAGAGATCTCCGAGGAGTTCATATTGGGGATGGATTTACTAAGGAAAGTTGATACTGTATTGAATGTCAAAAATGGAGTTCTCGAGATCAATGGTGAAGAGTTGCCATTTCATGAAGACAAAGAAGATGTTATCAGCTTAATAACTACTTGTGACGTAACAATACCCGGTAACAGTGAGAAAATTTTTATGACCAGACCTGATGGTTACTGCGGAGAGGGAAGTTTGAGGGATGGTCGAAGATGTGAGCAATGCCGAGTTCCTAACAGCAAAAGCTTTGGTGAGAATACGAGATGTCGTTCCTGTAAGAGTTATGAATTTAAAGGGAACTGCTATTAAGTAAAAGAACTTTGATCGGACAGTGTGTTCCCGTGGCTTCGATTTGTTCTATGAATACTAATGAGAAACTATCGAAATCTAAGTATTCAAAGGAGCTTGTTGACCCGGTGATTAAAACGTGTCAAGATCTTGATGATGAACGAACTAAAAAAGTGAAGTCTATGATGATAGAATTCCAAGATGTTTTTGCCATTGATAAGAAGGATAAGAGCAAAACAAGCATGATAAAGCATAAAATTAATACCAGAGACGCTCAGCCATCAGACAACAACCTAGACGACTTCCATTTGCGAAAGTAGATGAAGCCGAAGACATCATAAAAAATATGAACAAACATGGGGTAATTGAACCATCAAACAGTCGATGAACATCACCAGTAGTAGTAGTAGTAAAGAAGAAAGATGGTTCAACACGTTTTTGTATTGACTACCGACAGCTCAATGCGCTAACTAAACAAAATAGTTATCCTTTCCCCAGAATAGACGATACTTTGGATACACTTTCTGGTTCTCGTTGGTTCTACACACTCAATCTAAAAAGTGGATATTGGCAAGTAGACACGGAGCCAGCTGATCGTGAAAAAACCGCATTCTCGATAGGATAAGGGCTTTAGCAGTTCAGTTATGCCCTTTTGTGGTACTATGAAGTAGGTGATCTTGTTTGGCTTCATAATCCACAACTTCGTCGTGGCTTGTCCCCTAAACTGCAAAGACAATATGATGATCCGTATTGCCGAAAGGTAAATCAACAGTAGTTCAGATAAATCGTCTTGCACCTTATGCTGGCCCAAACAGAGGAAGCACGAACCCTTTAACACGAGATCAAAGATGACCGGCGACCAAGCTTTAATGAATTTATGTAAAATTACGCAGAAAGGAAGAGTGCTAGATTCGGCGTGACCACATAAGTTTAGCAGTTTAGCAACTCACTTTAGTTTGCCCGATAAAACAAAAAGGACACTGAATTTACAGAAAGCGAGAAACATACTTCGAATCGGTATTTTCAATATAAAATCAATCAACACGAGAGAACAAGACATCACCAGAGATCTAACAGAAAAAAATATAGATATAAGTGCACTTCAACCGACAAATAACAGGACCAAATTAGGCTCGAAAACTACTTATTAGTAGGTGTTTATGTGTAGATTGCCCTAGATCTTCATAATCTTCGATTACAATCAAAGGATTCAAACTAGAAGTTACGAACATTCAACCTTAGTCCGCAAATCCGATTCAGTTTTTGCCCTGCTCCAGCATCCGGTCCGGAGCATACGATGAACTTTGACAATTTCAGAACCATTGACCTCATTCTTTTTATAGACCGAGGATTATCCGGAAGCCAGTCATATCGAAAAATGAAATACTGTTATGGAAGTGAAATAAAATATATAAGGCACCCGATTACCATCAACATAATGATCCCTTCTCACACAAAATAAATCACCGTCCGTTTCTTCTAATAATCTCCAATCTATCTACTACCTTAATACCACGTCAGCGAACCAAGTCAATATTATCATTCAAAGATACTTTCACTTACCTTAGAATATTCACAAATTTGTACGAATCCAATATCTTCTTTCTTAAAATAATTTCTCACTCTAACAAAATCAAAATAACTTGGAATAAATATTAACGTATGCTTCATCAAAGTTTCCTTTTGTTGGGGTAAAATTTTATTTACAAAAAATTCAAACCTCGCATCGATAGCATCTGCTGCATTTTTACAATCGAACCTATGGAATACATGTGGAATCTGTACAACCACTTGGCTTATACAACCAAATTCGATAGGATTAAATACTTTAACTTTTCCAGCAAAATTATGACATTTTTTGTTAAAGACTGCGTTAATTTCTGGTAAATTATTTGAGGAAAATATAAGAGTCTGTCTATAATATTTCGCCCAGCCATTCAAACTCCAGGTTCTAACTCTGTAACAATAAATACAAATGTATAAGATGCCTTCAAATCACAAAGCATTAACATTGATATGTTACATTTTGTGGAAAAACGGTTTTTCTTGCTTTTTGGGCATCCCAACACTAATGTAACTTTTAATTTATCGAAAGTCTCAGGAAAGTAATATACAAAAAAATATGTTTTGTGTTTAAAATTAAAATATAATGGAAAGTAGGAACAAACAATTTTTAACCTAATGACTGAAAACCAAGAACAGAGAAAATCTGTTAAAAAAAGTAAGTTTACTAGGTTTATTAGTAGAAACATGTTATCATTAACAACAAAAATTTTCGTTATCAACAAAAATTTCATATTTTTGTTTAAAAAAGACGCATTTAAAAAAGACGCAAAGTATAAAAAATAGTTGTTTGTATAATTAAGTATCAAAAATGTAGACACTATATTCCAGGACATGGTTATAATCAAATGGCGGTGAGTTATTCTTTATCTTCCAGTGACGTACAAATTTTTTTAGGAGAGTGAGAGGTGTATTGAAGAATATTTACAATTATATGAACTAATATTGTTCCCCTGGCGCTAAAACTTTTCTAAACAAATATGGGGGATCGACTGTAATGCAACTGAATAAATTAGACATCAGATTATATGGACAGTACATTGTTTCTTTGATCAGTATTCATTTTTACGATTGGTAGGTTGATAACATTGCCAATCACCCTCCACATTTTATCCGGGCTTGGGACCGGCTGCCAAGACAGTAAGAAATGGAAGAGTAGAATGGAATGATCATATAAGTCGAATGACAACATATAGAGTAGTAAAGATGGCAAGACGCGGTTCCTCAATAGGAAGACTGTCAGTAGGATGGACAGAGGCATGTCTTTATAAAAAAAAGAAAAAAAAAAGATTATACGGAGTAAAAAAAAACCAACATGCTCAAATTAAATAAAATAATTAAACTTATCAAAACCAAATTTGCGTGAAGATGTGTAGGAGGTGTACTTCTACAAGTGTATTGTAGTTAGAATTCGTTTTATTAAGCTTTATTAAGCATTAAGCTGTACTTTCGGTAAACTCAACCAAAACTTTAATCACATTCTGTAGTCCTTATGCTCTATCAAAGAAATATATCATTCGATGGCAATATGTTGATTTGTTTTTTACCTGTTTGTGTCACGATTCTTACATTCCAACTAGTCGATTTTGTATGTTGTTGGCAAAATTTATGCTACTTCACATCATTATTCATACTGTGAATTATTATTGTGAATGAATAGTCATGTTGCTTTGAAACGCTTTAATCTGCAGTTATCCGTAATGCCTTTTGCATTCCTTGTCGTTAAATTTGCCACCAAGTTTGCCACTTGGTGGCAAATTTTTAGTTAATATGAATTAATTTTTCTGATTGTAATTTTTTAAGACTTATTTTAAAGATTATTTTCTCAAATTTATTCATTTTAAAAATAAGTATTTCTTTAGGGCTTCAAATTCCAAACTACGAATGCAATGTATTTTGTAAAATAAAAAACTTATGTTATTTTAACCAACTACAAGAAGATGTTAATACCTCTTGGGTCGTTAAGTCCTACATAATATATTCCCAATTTTTGGTATTACATTGAAATATTCAAAGACGTTTTGCTCGAAACTTTTTGTTTGTACATTCGTGGTTTTGATAGTATACCGACTATATGTCAAATTATTTATATGATAAAATTTGGTGATAAAATTTTATTATACAGAGTGGACCGAAAGTCTGGAAACGTCTAATTATCTGTTAAATGGATGGTTCGAATTGTACAAAAAGCGGGATACGCCTATTCTGCAATATGGAGATTTCAAATTTGATGCTTGTAATGCCAGATTTACTATTGTTCTGATATCATTAGTCTCTTTGGGTTTTTTAAATACAACACTCTCTATATTTTATTATTATTGGAATCCTCACTTCAATACGAATTCAACCATATGTAACAATAGGCATTTTATCTAGCCATGAAGGTCTTAAATAAATATTATTTTTCACTGCCAAGCACAGACCACTAATAACTAGACGTTTCACGTAGGTAGCTCAAGGTCAAACTAAAATAAATGTCATTTGTAGTACCGATACAAATCTTTTGATCTCGCTATACTCCACATATAGTCTATACCAGTGGTTCTCAACCTTTTTGTGGCGACGGAACACTTTTAATTACAGAAAAAAATTGCGGAACACCAAAGCAATAACATGCATATATTGATAAACAAATTAGGATTAACACATAAATTCTGTAATAAACTTTATTATACGTACTCAAATTTGTAAAATTTAACTTAAAATATGAAAACAAAAAACATTTTTAAAATTAACAAAAGCGAAATTCTGAAAATACATCATATGAGTAAATACTACAAACTAGTGAGACACTTGTGCCTCATGTGGGCTGATGTGGGAAAGAGCTACTCTCATTTCTTGTTCTAAGTTTAGCAGCCTTTCCCGTTTCTTATTTTTAATGTTTGTTAAAGATGAGAACCCAAATTCACATAAATAGGACGTTGAAAACTGTATTAAAATACTAATCGCTTTTTTGGCAAGAAGTGGATATTCCTCTTGGACCAAGATCCAAAATTCCTGAACATTCACTTCTGAAAACTTAATTTTCAGAGTACGATCAGATGACAACGAAATAAATTCTTCTTCTTGGTTCAGAGAAAACTGGTAATTGGCTGTATTACTTGTGCTAAAAGGACTTCTTATCCAGTCATATTTTTCTACGTTCAGAGATGGAAAATACCTGGCAATTGTCTCCTCTAATAGTGATAAGTGTTCTGTAACTATATGCGTGATTTCTTGTTCTTTATCTTCATCACCTTCATTCTGAAGCAGTGGAAACATATCCATTTTATTTGTCTCTAAAATGCGCTTCTTCCAAAATGACAATTTTTTCTGGAAAGCTGACAGCTTGTCCGTTGATGTTAAAATATTTTCATTTTTGCCTTCCATACTTGAGTTAACGCCATTTAAATAATTAAAAATATCGGCCAAATATGCCACTTTAGTGCACCATGCATCATTTTCAAAATATGTGGTAAATGTGTCATTACTTTCTTCTTGGGAAAAAGTTAACAGCTCCGTTTTAAGTTCATAAATTCGACATAATACTTTGTCCCTTGACAACCATCTAACTTCGGTGTGCAGCAACAAACATTCATACTTTGATTCCATTGAGATGCAGAGTTGTTTAAAAAGACGGGTTTTTAGTGGTCTTGATTTGATGTAATTCGCGACATTAACCACTTGGTCTAATACAGATTTCAAAGTAGCTGGTAGCGTTTTTGAAATTAGAGATTCTCTATGCAAGAAACAGTGCTTAGATATGATATTTTCATTTCGCTTTCTTGCAAGGGTACAAAAACCTTTTATGGAGCCTACCATGGAAGGGGCACCATCCGTACAAATTCCTACGCAAAAGTCCCATGATATATTTTTTTTCTCTAAATATGACGTTATGAAATCAAATACATCCTGACCTGTTGTACATGCTGTAAGTTCTCTGCAGCATAAAAACTGATTGATATATAAATTCTAATAAATGAGCTTTGCCACTAATATCAGTGGATTCGTCCACCTGCAATGCGAAGTTTTTTTTGTAAAGTTTATTTGTAACTTTTTCCTCAATATCTGCAGATAAATCAACAATCCTCCTTCTTATTGTATCATCCGACATAGGAATTTTCCGTATTTCGTTTTGTGCATCGTTGCCAAACATAATTTTGACCATCTCACAACATGCTGGTAATATAAGAGATTCTGCAACAGTGTGTGGTTTCTGTTTCAAAGCAATTAATTCGGCGACCTTATATGAAGCTATTTGTGCTTTGTCGGAAATTGTTAGCGATCTTTCAAATTGTTTCGCTTGTTTAGCTTTTGTCGCCAAAAGTCGCTTGAAATAATCTTTATTTTTTGAAGCTACACTAGCGTCTTTGGTAGTAAAATGGCGTTTTAATTTAGCCGGAGCCATTGCGCTATTAGCGAGTGTCTGCCCACAAACAATACACTTGGGAATTGGACAGTCTTCTTCCCCAGTCCAAATGAAGCCATAATCCAAATATTGCCGGTTCAACATTTTTTTGCTGCGCTTCGATTTGTCATCAACCCTACTTCGTAAAGTTCCAGTATCTCCGCTGGTGCTCGCTTCATCATCATTAATTATGAGTTGTTCAACAGTAGTTTTTCTTTTAAGTTTGAGGAACTTATCCATTTTAATTTATTCGTCTCTAAACAAAATAATGCGAATGAATGCTTCACATTTTGTAAAAAATATGCAATTACTTACCTTTCATAGATAAGCCGTACGTAAACGTTATCATAAAAAAACTGACACAGCGATTTTCACGTATTACGTTTGTGCAATGTAACAAATTCAACATTCAGTTGCAGACTGTGGCGTGGGTGACTCAGATTGGCTGTGACCACTGCGGAGCTCAGCGCTCAGCGCTTATAAAATCCAACGTGTGTCACGTTGGGCAAATGAACATTTACGCTGCAGAATTTTATTAAATTAAAATGTACGTACGTAAGTGGCTATTTTAAAATTTGAAAATATTTATTTGAAAAGAGTAATTTAACAAAATGGTATGTAGGATTGCGAGTATTTTGCGGAACACTTGGAAGGAATTCGCGGAACACTAGTGTTCCGAGGAACACAGGTTGAGAACCACTGGTCTATACTCTCCAAATTTAGGTTTAGAACCAAACTAAAAATTATAATTGTCAATCACCAACTGTCAGTATCAGTAATAATAATTGATTAGCGTCTATATAATGGTTATTATTCGTCTAAATTGTTTGATTTCATGGTTTTTATTGCAAAGAAATCAAACTAAACTTGGTTAAATATCTCTGGATTATTATTAGCATTAACATTTGGCTTAGTGTTATAAAAAATCCTAATTTAGATATGATGAATTCCACTACAGTTTTTAAAACAAAACGAATATGAAGATAAGTTTGCTTCTACATGGAGTCATAGCTTGTACCAAAATGCAATGTCCGAGAACAAATAGCTGATTGATTTTGGATTATTCTTCTAATCTGCATCCCAGAAGTATTTCAATGTTGTGGAAGCAAATGTAATATAAAGTAAGTAACCCTAATATGACATTACATTGTAATTAATAAAAAATATTTTACTTGAAGTGAATGATGGTATAAATTATTATATCAACTTTTTGTTTTAGTTGAAAGTTCTTCAACAAGTAGATATGCACAATCTACACACACGCTTCAATCATTTAAGTACAATTTTCAGTGGTAATAAAGCATATTTCTATTGCATTTTAAATTAATATACAAAGTTGTTTGACATGTTATATTTTGTTTTATTTTTTCGTAAATGGTATTGTGTTTATTTGGATTTAGAATTTGCACTTTTTAAAAATTAAAATGCATTTTTTTTTTTCAAATATACCAAATTGTATTTAAATATTTTAAGCATTTTTTAAATTTTCCCAAAAAAAATAAAATTTGGAAATTCCCGCGTGATTTCCCGCTTGAATTAGTTCCGATACAAATTTCTTGGAGCGCTGTATTTCGTATCTTAATAAAGTATTGTCGTGAAGCATCTAGAGGTAGGTGATTTGTGGTGCCAAGTAGTGTTGAAGTAATTCAGTAAATATAGAATGCTGTTATTTTGACATTAAATCATAAAACTAACAAAACTTGACGTTTATTGAAATGTTTTCTAACATAAATTGCATTAATAACTAAAGCTAAAAGTTATTTTATGTGCTCTATAATAAAGATGGTTTTGAATAATAGAAGGAATAATAAAAGTGCGAATTACTAAGCAAAGAAATTGTAAAGAGCCTTGAAGAAACTGGAAGAGTAAAAGATGGCATTCGAACAGTTAGACCAAAAACCAAAATAATTACAATAGAATTTTAGATTTAATGCAGAGTTTCGTTGAAGATCCACATACATCCTCAAGGAGAGCTGCACAAATACATGTAGGTCGTTCTTTAGTCTTGCGTTCTAACATAAATTCTACATAAGAATTTATTTAAACGCCACAAAATCCAGATTTTGTAAATTACAGTCCAACTGTAGATTATAGTTTGGTGAGGTAATTATAAATAAAATTTTAACTAACAAGATATGTTTTTTCCGACAAAGGAATATTTACACTGTGTGGAAATGTAAATCGCCAAAATATATAGTATTGAAGTGTGGTAAATCCACACTGGATATGTGAAAACCAAACCCAAAGACCATAAAAGCCATGAGATTCTTCTCCTTCCTACACTTCTCTTGACCTAATATTTGTCTTTGTCCTAATAATTAATTGACGTATGTTGTATCTTTCATTACGCATAACATGCCCCAGATATTGCAGCTTTCGTGTCTTAATGGTTTCCAATATTTCCATTGTTTTATTGACTCTTCTCATGACTTCGTTGTTTGTTACATGCTCGGTCCATGATATCTTCAGGATTTTTCTATACACCCTCAGTTCAAATGCTTAAACTTTTTAGTAGTCGACGCGTTAAGTGTCCATGCTTCTAACCCGTACAGCAGAGTCGGGAAAATATAACACGTTGTCAGCCTAACTCTTAAGTCTAATTTCAGTTCTCTTGTACTAAGTTCCTTTCTCATTTTATTGAAGTTTGTTCGTGCTTTCTCTATTCGAACTTTAATTTCTTTGAAGTAAACGTTTGTGTGATTAATTATTGTGCCAAGATAATTGTAGTTTTCAACACTGAAGTTTTACCGTTAATTGTCAGGCTTTCATCATTATTTTGGGTTTTTGATATCCTCATAAATTTAGTTTTCTTTATGTTTATTGATAATCCATATTCTTCTCCACACTCAACTATCTTGTTCATTAGCTTTTGGAGGTCTTGGAGGTTGTCTGCTATTATGATAGTATCATCCGTATATCTAATGTTGTTAATTGGTGTTCCATTGATCTTTATTCCCGCTGTTTTTCTCTCAATAGCTCTTTTTATAATTTCTTCAGGGTATGCATTGTATATTAGTGGTGACAAAACACATCCCTGTCACACTCCTCTTTTAATTGCGAACTCTTCTGATATGTGTTCATTAATGCTTATGTGTGCCTGCTGTTTATAATATAGATTTGTTATAATTCGAAGGTCATTGTATTGTAATGGCTTTGATTTGAGGACATCCATTAGCTCTTCGTGGCGGATTTTATCGAAAGCCTTGTTGTAATCTGTGAAACAGACGTACATATCTTGGTTAACATCCAAGCATCTCTTGATTAGTACGTTGAATACAAAGAAAACTTCATAGGTACCTACGCCTCTACGGAATCCAAATTGGGTTTTTTTAATATCCATATTGAGTATTTGGTAAATGCGTTTATGGATGATCTTCAAAAACATTTTTTAAGTGTGTGAGACATCAGGCTTATGGTGCGGTGGTCGGTGAATTCTCTAGCATTTTTTAAACAAATAAATGTTAAGGTCAACCATTCATTGGATATGTCACCCGACTGATAAATTTCATTAATGAGCTTTAAGAGGATATCTATGTACTCGTTTTCTAATACTTTAAGGATATCAATAGGCAGTTGATCTGGCCACAAGCTTTTTCCGTTTCTGGTGTTCTTTAGTAGATACAATATTTCTTCCTTTGTAATTTCTATGCCCTCGAAAGATATGTCTTGTAGGTTTCCTCTTTCGTCGTCGAAGAGTTCTTCCATATATTCTTTCCATCGTTTTAGCTTTTCGTCAGTCGTTATCATAGTATTTCAATTTTTATCTAAAAGAGTTGTGTTGTAGTTTATTTTAGGCAGCATGTTAAGATCTTCTATCTCTTTACATGTTTCCTCATTGTAAGTTTGTTTTGCCTCTCTTATCATTTTTCTGATTCCATTGTTAATGATTTTGTAACTGTGACTGTCTTTGTTCTTGACTTGTCTTCTTTGGTCCATCTTGCCGAGTATGTCGTCGGTTATCCAGTTGTCTCTTTGTCTGCTGAAGGAAATTAATTTAGCAATCGATAATTATGGAATGCTAGTTAGAAATAAAATTGTACTTGCCCTGAAAAACAAGTTTGGAGCCGATTTTAATAAGACATGGTTTCAGCAAGACTCATTTTGCATTCAGCTCATTTTGTTGTAAATGTTCGGCATTATTAAAATCAGACATTTCCGAGAGAAAGGATTGGTAGATTAGGTGGTATTGAATGACCTCCTCGTTCACCCGATTTGAACCCGAAGATTATTTTTATTGGGGACCTTTGAAAAGTAAAATTTATAAAACTAAACCAGTAAATGTTGCAGAGCTAAGGCAAATAATTATCGATAAATACATATTAATTTCTAGAGAAACATGGATAAATGTAATAGATGCATTCTACCATCCGATCGTCTAGGATACTGTCAAATTAACGAAGGGTTTAAACACTTAATTAGGTAGACATTACTCAAATTTAGTTGTATATAGTATCAAAACAATTATAGAGACGATTAGTCGTTTCTAGGATTTTGTTTTATCATTTTAATATGTGCATGACTACATAAAATCCAAAGTATTTTATACGGTTTACTGGTATTGAAGTCGAGATTTCAATAAAGGGTGTTATATTTAAAATATACAATATACAGGATGTTATATTTAAAAACCAACGTGACTAATTATAGCAGAAAACTGGTAAATCTAACAACATTACACAAACATCGAATTTAAAATCTTCATATGGCAAAATAGGCGTATCCCTATATAATTGGGACTATCTGTTTAAGAGATAATTAGGCGTATCCAGACTTTTGGTTTACTCTGTATATATGGATATTACGGAGTAACTGACAGGTATTTGTTAAATGATAAGGCAAAGTTTAACAGGACATCGCCTGAGAAAAATTAAAATTAGCAGAAGAATACCCTTTCATATAAAGAATTATTATAATGGAGAAAATGAATGTACTGAAAAAGAAAGAAATTTATTTACATCAGAGGAACTTCTTAAAAAAAAAGTAAAAATTATGGAGACGCCAAGATATTTATAAAAGTTTATTTTATTTACCTAGAAAAATCAGTTCCGTGTGAATCCTTAGGTTGCATATGTAAGTGACATAAAACGTGCATAACATGGTCCCAATTCTGCATGAGAAATATATCTGCCTGGTCCATTATCAGCAATTCAATTGAAGCTAGAAAATCATAATCGCGTTCAGCTTCTCCTTCCGCTCCGATGATTGTTCTTAACCCCAGGGGTGAAGCTATTATAATGTCAGATGAATAGAAATCAGCATACAGCTAAAAATGTAAAATTAATTATATTAACGGCAGATAAAAAATAAAAAATAATTTATTAAAATGTTATTTTTATTATTTGATACTTTAAACATTGAACTCAGACTACAGTTTTGTTAAGTGGATCGAGTAGCTCGACAGAACTGTTGCCGGTTCCAAGCCCGGATAAAGGAGGAAGGGGTCTACAGCCAGGTTAGCACCATACTGGTAGAGTTTAAAACCATATAGCTCATAGAAACAGGATTATGCTTCGGAACAGGAATGATTTCATTATGACAACTAACGCGAGAAACAGGACAACGAATTTATGGAAACGAGAAATATACCTCGCATCGGTACTTGGAATGTAAAGTCTCTACAAGAGTCTCTACACAACAGAGCAGGAAATTACAAAAGAACTTCTAGAAAAAAATATAAACATACGTGCAATACAAGAGACGAAGAAAAAAAGAAAGGGTCAAAAATGTTGCTCGATGGCTATCTGATGATTTACAATGGTCTTGCGAAAGAAACCAGTCAAGTAAGGAGTCGCCCTGTTAGTACACAAAAAAAAAAATTTACGCTAAGTACAAGAATCCATCCATGCATCATGATGAAATCATCAAAAGCGTTAACAAAGAAAGATGATGCAAAATAGGAAACAAAGAAATCAAAATACTCTGTTAAGCAGACGACGCAATATTGATAGCCCAAGATGAAGATAGTCTGCAAAGACTGGTCTAAGACTAAAACAATAGCAGTCAGCAAAGAACCAACCAGATGTAAAATAAAAATTGATGGCATCAGTATTAAACAAGTAATCGAAATAAAATACCTGGGAATTACACTGTCTAGCTATGGAGACCTGGACAAAGAAGTGAGAGATAAAGTACAAAAAGCAAAATAGACTGCCAGGATGCCTTAATAACACTATATGGCGAAACAGACACATTAACACTGAGATGAAGTCAAGAATTTATAAAGCCATTGTAAGTGAGCGCGCCCATCAAACTGGCGTGGCAAGTAGCACGCGTCTAGCATGTTACATCAAATGTAACCAATACAAACGAATGATTAGAATGAATGAGGTCATTGTCATATTGGTGTGGGCTGAATCATTCGTTTTCATTGTTTACATTTTAAGTAACATGCTAGACGTGTGCTACTTGCTACTTGCCACTGGCCATGTCAGTTTGGTGGGCGCTCTCCCTAAGACCAATAATGACATATGCCTCAGAAACAAGACTTGACACAGCCACAACGCAAAGGCTACTAAAAACTGGCAGAGATGAGAGTACTGAGAAGAATTACAGGAAATACGCTGAGAGATCGAAAGAGAAGTGAAAACATTAGAAGGAAATGTAACATACAGTGTATAAATGAATGGACACAAAATAGAAAAAAGAATGAAATAACCAGATAATCAGAATGGAGGAGACTGGGGTCGTCAAAATTGCCAGAGATAAGTCACCAATCGAAGGAAGAAGTATCGGACGACCGCGCAAAAGATGGAATGACAACCTTCCATAGAGGTATTAATCCGCCAATGAACAAGCAGATTTGCTTATAAAGAGGAAGAAGAAGAAGAAACATTGAAACACTGGCCTGTTTCAGTCAGTGTTTCAAAAGCCAGAAATACAACTACTTTAAACCTGCAAGGGTTGGAGAGCTATAATGCGACAAAAAAATCAAACTTCATTTTCTTAACCGGAAATTTTTGAAGTTTGATTGTTCCCGTCCTTCACACATATTTTTTACATAAATATAATAGACATAAAATAGTCTAGACACAGGGTTATTGGTACAGACAGATTCATCAAAGGTTTTAAATTTAAGCAAATTGAATTGTTACAACCACACAAAATATTCAAAAGATTTGATAAATTTGCATTTAACTTACTTCGCCATAAAAAATACCACCAGTGCCTTTAAAATAAACATCTGATGGATGTATCTCTTATAGTTAATTATACAACTATTCAATAATAAAATTCGTTGAAGTTTTTTTTTTCTAAGATAAACTGAAAAGGAACTATGTATTACAGTGCGTGACAAAATATTCGCGAAAGTGGAAGAGGCTTTTGCGGCTGTTTACCGTGCCGACGTTTGGATTAATCATGGTCGGATATTTACGCATAGAGAACATGTGTGTTTGACATCAGCGACATTTGATATTTTTGTAGAAATTACTCGTATATTGTGTACCATTATTTAAGAGTGCGTTTTGAATTTTAGTGGCCTTTCAGGTGAAGCAATTGGTGTCCGCCACCAGTGGTTTATCAGTCGCGAAAACGAAACACCGGTGTCTGACGCTGATTAGAAGCTGTAAGTGTAAACATGAATTTCAGTAAAATAGCCCATGTTCGTGAAGCCGATTACGTATAGTTTGAGTATTTACTCTTATACCCGTAGCTTTTACCAACTCATTTTGTAGCGTTCGAGCAGTACTTCGACGATTTCTGATGGCCCATAGTTGTAAAAGTCGATCTTCTCTAGCTGTAGTCGCTCTTGCACGATGCGTATCAGGTTGTGTTCTAATAACTCCATACATTTCATGTGTAGCCCAGGCTCATTTATCGCAGCACGACTAACATTTAACATTTTTGGTGTACGGCGTCTTGAGCAGCCTGCTTGAATTAAAGTGAGTCAGCAATTTGAATCTCTGTGAGATACACTCTGCGCCTTCGGGGCCTACCGAGCCTGTAATACATACAATATTACAACATACAAAATACTTATAAATTACATAAAATACTGATGATAGTCAAGTTAGAGGAACGCCCCTACTAGCGAAGAGTAATCAAATTTGAATAACCTTAATAAATATCAAAATCGAAATGCGATTGGTAAAAGCATTACAAATGAAGTAATAAAAGGGGCTAGTTAAATTAAATAGGTTCAAAAACAGGAAACAAGCATATATACATCAAATGAGTGTGGAGATTGGACAGAATATGTCCATAGTAGAATTTGTTCGAATTGGGTTAACGAAAAACCAAGAGAACTCAAAAATAATTATACAAACGACCTCATGCTTGACCTACAACAAGCTTGTAAAAACAAAAATAATACGTCTCATGGAATTGACAATATTCATTGCCCAATGATTGCTGAGATCCCAGTTTTAACTAAGCAGCGCTTATTAGATATTTACAACAATATACATACTGTTTTGTATATATATTCTTGTACCAGACGACTGGAAAAATATTTAATAATACCTGTTCCTAAGCCTAATAAACCTAAAGATTCCCCAGACTCATACAGATTTTATTGGTATCTTATATCAGGAAAACTTATAAATGACTTATTAAAAATAGGTTAGAACACTGGTTGGAAAAAAAATCAGTTATTACCAACAGTCCAGTATGCATTCAGAAGAGGACGCTCGACTCAAGAAGTTACAGCATCATTTGTTACTGATGTACAACTAGCATTTACCCGAAACAACTCAGTCTCCTGCTTATTTTAAGACATTATGGGAGCTTAGGATGTAGTTAATCTAGACATACTAACAGATATGCCATAGGAATTCCAGAAGGTATTATTGCGAACCTAATGAAGTTGTACCGAGATATCATAACCTATTAGAATTACATATCCCGTACTATTATCTAAATAGTAACGAAACAATTCTAAAAAGATGGTCCGAGTCAGATTGTATTTATACAAATGGGTCCAAATATGACGAATCTACTGGATGCGCTTTTTACCATTCAAATCGAAATATATCCAAAAAATTCAAACATCCAAGTCAAATGTATATTTACACTGCTGAGCTCATCGTAATTCTTCAGGCTTTGAGGTATATTAATACCCATCACAAGAGTAATTTTGTTATATTAACAGATAGCAAAAGTTCGGTAGACACAATAATACAAACTAAATTATCAAGCTCTTCATCAGTGGTAATTATAAGAATTTTAGAAGCGGTCTAGTCACTTACGAATAAAGGTAAACCATTTTTTTTTGTTTTGATTAAGGCCCAAGATTTCTTGATCGAAAAAAAAGTGCGACAGGGTTGTGCTCTGTCACCCCTTCTTTTAAATCTTTACTCTGAAACGATATTCGATAGAGCCTTAAGTGATACTGAAGATGAAACCAAAATCAACGGACAGGCTATTAGTAATCTTCGCTATACTGATGATACAGTCATAATAGCTGGTAGACAAGAAGCGCTACAACGACTAATAGATAGAATAAACACTGAAGGAGAACGATTGGGCTTGAAGATTAATACAGACAAGACGAAGGTAATGGTGATTAGTAGAACACGAAATATGCAATTAAATATAGGAGTAAACAATAAGTACATCCAAAAGGTCCCCAAGTTCAGATATCTCGGTAGTTGGATAACTTAAAATTTAGATCCAGTCATAGAGATACGTAGCAGGATTGAGTAAGCCAGAACAGCATTTACTAATATGAGAATCTTGCTAAGCAACAGCAGCCTAACTTAACGCTTCGATATCGCTTTGTAAAATGTTACATTTACTCCATACTGCTATATGGTGCAGAAACCTGGATCATAAAGGCCAATGTGATGAACCAATTGGAGGCCTTTAAAATGTGGGTATTTAGAATACTACTTAACACAGATCACACAACAAATGTCGAAGTATTAAATCGAATGGACAGAGACCGAGAATTGCTACCAATAACTAAAGAAGAAAAACTGCTTACCTGGGTCATATATTTCGAAATTCCAAGTACCAGTTCTTAAAGCTTATTATAGAAGGGAAGATAGAAGGAAAACACGGTATCGGAAGAAAGAAATATTTATGACTTAAAAACAAGGGATTGGACAAACCTCGATGCCCATGCACTCTTTAGAGCCACACAAATCGAGAGGAGTTTGACAGAATTGTCGACAACATCCATTAATTGGATAGAGCACCATAAGAAGAAGGATTAAGGCCCATTATGGAATTAATGAAAATGAAATAGGGGATAGATTGGCAAAGAATGCTACTACAACAGGGGTACCGATAGAAGAACCATGCCAGTCACTGATCTACAAGAATGGTTTGATAAAAAACAAATGGAACAGTGGCAACAGGAATATAACATCTCATTGAAAGGTATAAGATTTCACGATATCCAACCAAAAATTCATAGAAAACCGTGGTTTTACGATATTACAAATCGGTAGTTCATTAAGACCTTAAACAGAGCAAGGAACAAACATGGTTTATATCCATCCCACAAAAATAAACTAGGGTTGGTTAATTCTCAAAACTGCACATGCGTAGAGTTGGGTACATTAGAACATGTGATTTTCGATTGTGCAAACTTCCAGATGCTAAATCAAACGTTAAAAGAAATCTACAAACAGCAGGAACTACTCTCTCCACCAATTTAAATGCCATTGTATGTATACGTAATATAAATTTTGCAATGTATTGATTAGTGATCAGTGAACTACTGTTTGGGGTCTTGGGAGACTGAGACCTCGGAAGCCCTGAATAAGACATCGAAGAGGATGTCGAAAGCTCTTCGCAATGATAATCGACGCGGTTCAAGCCGAAAGACTGTTGAGTTTAATATTAATTCCTGTAATAGTATTAACCTTAGCTCTAGGTTTAATTGTACTAACCGAGGAAACCTTTCGGAACATATAAAAAAAATGAAAAAAAATACACAAAGAGCCTAAACCTCCGAGGTGTTGAATCGGGTTTAGGTCTTAGCGCTGTAGAAAAAATTATTTTCATTGTTAATATTTAGTACCAGTATTTAGTTTTTTTAGCATTTAGTATTGGTTATTATATATATATATATATATATATATATATATATATATATATATATATATATATATATATATATATATACCCGGTATTTAGGCGGCACACGCCCTTCCAGTAGGGATCTATGGAGGAGTATCACCGAGCCGCAAGCCCTTATCTCTTGCCGTACTGCTCCACCATAGGCCGATAAGATACAGGTTATTCCACGAATATACGACTGTTTGGAATTATTGCTACAACGAATATTTTACTGTATAAGTAGAAGTATGAAAGTAAATTGGTCTAATTATTATTCCATAAAAAAAGGATCTTCTATTATTATTACATATAAACTAAAATTATTTCAGTTAGTAGATGTTCAGATAGACGCAAAATTTATTGTGAAAATTAATCCGAAAATAACAAAAAAATTTACGTAAACGCTCCTTACAAATAAATACAATGACCTCTATGAAGTTAAAATGTGTTCATCAGCCATTTGGGTTGGATTTCGGTGAAATGTAAACACCAAAGAGGCGCGCCGGGTATCTTTATTACTTTATTAGGTACAAGTTTATTACTACAACGGTAATAAAAAGAAATATAATATTTTTAATATAAATAAAAAGAAATTGGCAGAACGATGGTTCAGAAACCAGGAAAAGAATCTAGTATTCCACTTTGTTAGTTTTTTGTTTGCTTTGAGTGGATATACTCTTAAAAGTTCCGAAAGAAACGGGTATAACATGGCGGCTATTGATAGTTAAAGTACCGAGTCATTACAGATATTAAAAAGTAACGAAAATTTACATACAGTTTCATAAATCGCCGACTGATTTTAGTTTTAAAAACAGTCCGTATAAAGGTGTCCGGTGAAGAGACGTATCCGTTAAGAGAGAGTTTAGTGTAGTGTATTTGTTTGTAATGGTGATTAGGAGAATAAGAGTAAGAGTAAGTTTTTTTGTTTTTTTAATACTAATTAAATATTCGACTAAATAAATTAAATTATTTAATCACTTAAGTATTGTTACACTTCGTTTAAATCACTTAATTCAAAAACCAACTTGTTTACAATACTAAAATCAATGAGAGTCATTATACGAGTATACTTCAAAATCTTAATTACAACTATTCTATAAACTATCAATTCTATATTTAGATCATAACTTCATATTTAAATCTAAGGTGTATATCTATTCTGTCATAACAGTATTTTAAAAATGGGGAGAATTTACCATTGTACAATTCAGCACATTGGACCATTTAAGTCGACACCTAAAACCGAATTTAAAACAGTCGTATATTCGTGGAATGGAGTATACCAGCATATTCTAGACGCCGCAGATTCATTTAGAATTTTAAACTGCTGCGTTAGCCTTTTTGTTTTCTGTATACCGAGCTGGGGATTTGAACTGACATCTCTCGCATTGAAGCGAATGAGAAGCCTGCCGCCCAGCCCGCTTGGCTATCCGATCGACTTATTAGTTATTATTAGTATATAATGCATCTTAGCTAAAACTAGGAAATTGTATCTATGGAAATGATAATTTTAATCAAATTTTCAGCTATTCAATTGGTCATTAATCGAAACATACACACATAATATATTATGCACTTACCTTTAGACTCTTTTTTGTAACTGTAATACCAATTTTAAAATCATCACTGGTATTGCCTTGAAAAAGTTGCTCATAATCTTCAGGTTTTGGATTTTTCTTTGGTAAATATAATTCATTTCCAGTATAATCTTCTATAAATCTATTCTTATTCATAACATTCCCTTTATTTTCTGGAAGTATTAAATCTATTATCAGTTGGATAGTTTTGTAGGCAGAATCTTTAAACGGTAAGATGAATAGAACCTAGAAAATCATTAATTTTACTTGTTAAGAATGAAAAAGTATTAAAATAATACGTAATTATTATAAATTCAAGTATCTAGATCATCATGAAATTAGTGTCAATTTATTACAAAATTCCACCTAAACAGACAGAAGAAAATTAATTAAGATCCGATTTAAATACATAGTTTAATTTACCAAACGATGCCCAGGCTAATCCTATGCGACGTGGGAGCTTACATGTCTGGTTATCTCTGCCCAACCGAATTTCATGTCCTAAGTACTTATACGATGCAGTCTGCACAATATCCCTTCCATCAACAGCGATATTTCGATTTAACACCGGATAATTAGTCATTATTTGCGTCTTGTTCATATTAATCTTTAGTCTGACCTCCAAGGAGGCGTGATGTAATTTTTTAAACATTATTATTGCACCAACGATACGATCGGGTATAAGGACGATGTCATCTGCAAATCTTAGGGAGAGCGCCCACCAAAGTGGCGTGGCAGTGGCAAGTAGCACGCGTCTAGCATAATGTAACCAATCCTAACGAATGATTAGAATGAATGACGTTACTGTCATTTTGGTGTAAACTGAATCATTCGTTTTCATTGGTTACATTATGCTAGACGCGTGCTACTTGCTACTTGCCACTGCCACGCCACTTTGGTGGGCGCTCTCCCTCAAATGACTCAGCTTCGCTCCATTTATGTTAATAACATGCTTGTTCAGATGTGCCTTCTTACAAGTATGTTCTAAAAGCGTCGTGAATGGCTTTGGAGAGACGGTGTCTCCTTGCCGTACTCCTCGCTGTATACAAAATTTGTTTCTTGATCAGATAGTCTTACGCTAGCTGTGGCATTTTGGTAGATATATTTGATAATGTTAAGGTATCGATGGTCTATTCGGCATTCTGCCAGTGTTTTTAACATTTTCTGATGATTTATGGTATCGAATGCTTCCATATAGTCCACACATAATAGTGCCAAAGGTTTGTTGTAATCTGCAGACTTCTCTATCAGGTTCTTTATCACTAGTAAGTGGTCGTTAGTGCTGTATTCTGATCTAAGTAGTGCTTGTTCTCCACGCTGATAGAAGTCTAATTTGAGCTCAAATCTTTTTTGATAATTTTTGTGAACGAAATGTTTATATATGCGTGAAAGAAAACTCATAGGACGGTAGATTTTTAGATCTAGTATGTCTCCTTGCTTGTGTAATAAAATATTGACTGCATTGTTCCATTGTGAAGGAGTTTTTCCTTTGTAGGTGTATTCGGTGAAAAGCTTCGCCAAAGCCCGAATAATTTTATTTCCATCTAGTTTGATCGCTTCGATCACTACTCCATCATCGCCAGAGGTTTTGTTATTTTTCTTTTCTAAAAGTACCGTTTCAATTTCATATGGAGTTATTTCTGGCATTAATTCTGATCCCTAGTTTGTGATTTTGGGCAGGGGCTGATCTTGCTTTTCGTCGGTGCTCTCATACATTTCGCGATAAAAGGATTCGACAACCTCAAGGATTTTGATTCTATCCGTAGTAATGTTTCCATCTTTGTTTTTTATTTTGTACATATTTTTGTTGCCTATGTTGTTCGTTTTTCGCCTCAAAACCTTTTAAACTTTTTTCTTGAATTGTTTTAGTTATTTCTCTTGTATTGTTTTCCCTTACGTCTTTTCGGATTAACTGGTGGATATCTTTCTTTAATTTCTTCATTGTTGTTTAGTTAAAGCCGTAGTTTTCCGTCAGCAGTCTTCTTTTACTTATTAGCTCTTTGATATTTTGCCTTAGTTTTTCTTTATGGGTCAGAACGGTCGGGCAGCCCTCCCTTTCCGTTTCTCTTAGAAATATGTTTCTCATAGCCTTCGTTATGTCATCATTTGCTTGATCTACATCTTCTATTTCATCTTGCAAGTCTTGTATATGTCTGGTTAGTGTATCTTCATACAGGTCGTTGTTTTCTGGGGGAATCCATTTCTTTTTTCTTATTTTTAGGATCATTTTTATTCTTTCTAATTTGACATTTAACACTATCTTAGCTCGGATTAATCTGCCTTCGCTTCCTATTGAAAATTTGAGTAAAGCTAAAAATTCCAGAACTTTCGAAAATATTTGTCAGTTTGCTTAGAAATCAATGGAAAAGTTGGGCCATAAGAACAGATTAACTTAATACTTTCATAAAAAAATTTCCCAAAAGTAAAAAGCTTATAAAAAGTGTCAAATTATTAAGAAAACTTTTTTTTACTCAATAATACTCCAGGCCACCCAAATAAAGAAGAACATGGATTAAGTGATGGAAAAATCAATGTCATCTTCTGTTACCATCAAACTGCACACCTTTACTCTGGCAGGTGGAACAAAATGTCATCCAAAAAGTAAGTTACTGTATAAAAATAAGTTGTTACAATGCAGTGCCTCGAAGAATTAAACTGGGTGTTATATTCTCTCTCCCTCACTCATGGAACTGTTTCATCTAAAGTGATTCCAAAAATCATGGGCCTACGATAAATACTTCATCACAAAAGCAGAACAATGGAATGCAGATGATCTACATATTGCTGATTGGTTGTAAAATGTTTCAACAACAGGACTTAAAACAGATTTAAATTCTTGATTTAAAGAGACTAAGGAATGCAAAGAACCAGAGAAAATGATGACAGATGAAGAAATATATCAAGAAAAAAGCCTTGTAGAAATATTGGAGCCACCAACGAACCTGTGGTGGAAAAAAATGGTATATCTGCCAAGGATATAATAATTATATAATAATAAAACCACTGACAAAAAGTATTTAGATAAATTAAGAATTATGTGAAAATAAATTAAATAAGTAACATATTTGATTTTCATAACGAAATGTTTACTGCATATAACCTTATTAAATGGGTGTACATACGAGGGTTGTCATTTTAATTTTCCATACAGCCATAAAGACAAAAAATATATAGACTTAAAGTACTTCATTGCTTTTCAAAATATGTCCCACCAAGATCGATACACTTTTGCATATGTTCGAGCCAATTGGTAAAACAGTTATTCCAATCTTCAGTTGACACCTACAAAATCGCTGTTTTAAAGGCATCAATGGCTTCTTCTCGAGCCTGGAATCGCTGACCATACATTGAGTTCTTAATCTTTGGGAACGTAAACTCGTTCGGACTTCTCGAGCATGGAATCGCCGACCATACATTGAGTTCTTAATCTTTGGGAACGTAAACTCGTTCGGACTTGGGTCGGGACTATAACGTAGATAGTTTAACAATTTTTGAAGTTTTGGACAGTGTGAGCACTTGCATTGTCCTGATGTAGGAAGATTCGCCATTGTGTGTCGCTTTTTCGGAGTTTCGCGATAACTTCTAGTAAACAAACGGTTATATACAAATCAGAAGTAATCATTGTTCGATATTCTAAAGCAATTGTTGCCACATGACCATATTCTGACACAAAAGTTGCGACCATTTTCTTTGACACAATTCGAGAACGGATCATGTTTGTTAGTTTTTGCTCATCGTGACACACCCAGATAGCATAATGGCTTTATTTTTCGGTTCATAGGAGTAAATCCAAGATTTATCGCCACTAACAATACTATAAACATTTTTTGAGCTTCCTTTGTTAAACTGTTAAAATGTTTTCCGGTACCAATTGAAGAGAACCGCTTTTTGCTGTTCTGTGAGCAAATGAGGGATCTAGCAAAAAACCAACTTTGTTACACCTAGTTCTTCTAGTAGGATCTTTTGGATCGAGGTATTTGAAATGCCCAAAGATGTCTTGATTTCCCGGTATTTTACACGGCGATCATCCTTAATTAGCTGACGAACTGCATTCATGTTTTGCTATGTGACTGCTGTTTTGGTTGGACCTGGCCTGGATTCTTGCTAAGACTGGAGCAACCAATTTGAAGTTCACAATACCAGCGGGAAATAGTTGACTGATGTGATGCTTCATTTCCAAACACAGAAACCATTTCAGCGAGACATTGCTGTTGGAATAATCCTCACTGTATAAATTTAAAAATTGAAAATGTTCTCAGCTAAGATCAATTTTTCGACTGACTTGCTAATTTCAAAATTCACTGTATCTACACGACTTGTCGTAATTCAATCAAACTCTCGATTTATGTCAATAAAAAATTGAGGTTACATTTGTGTTGGAAGGTTTTATTGCTGGCACTCTTTAAGTCGCTATATGCAAAAATTAAAAAGACAAAACCTCGTACTAAGAAATGCTGTATTTTATTTATCTTAATTTCTTATATACATTTCTGTAATCTGAACATTCTAATAATCTGAAAACTGGAAAGATCTCATTTTTAAGACTGCTTCAGTAATGAGATTATGTTTATTTTTGTGTATGCTTTGTATATTATATGATACTTTTAATAAACTTTGTTGATATTTTAAGCAATGTTATTAAATATTTGAAAATATTAATATTACTTACCTTTGGGCGAACTAAGCCTTGGTCCCTAAATTCTTCTGGTACATCATCTTTTTTTGTTAATCTAGCATTATGATGAATGATTTTAAGTCTTGTTTTTAAAATATGGTTTACAGCATGAACACAGTATATAAATCTTATTTCTTCTGAATTGTTGAATGTTCTGCCAGGATAATAAAAATCTTGATAGTTATTAATAATGGAAAATATTTCTTCTTGTAATGGAGTAAAATTTTCTGAATTTGTTACATTTTTATTAACTTTTGGAAGATTCGTAACAATCTGAGGCTTGATATATAATTTTTCTATATTATAATGTGTTAATCTTGTTGGTACAGTACCTTGGGGTGCATATATCTTTTTTTCAGATATAGTAAATTTATTTTCCTCATCCCCAGATATGTCACACTTGGGAATTTGAATTGATAATTTACCTAAAACTGGCCACAATTTCTGGAGTGTGTTGTTTGTAACAGGACTACTTTGAAGAGAATCTAACATAGTATCATGTAGTTCATACAAAACATGCTGATTAAAATGATCTTCCTCATCATTTACAAGCTCATCTTCTTTGTTAATGTCTAAGGAGCAAATACTTTCTTCATCATCACTGTCCAATGTTTCTCCATTATTCTCATCACCTTCACTTATATTTCTATCCTTTATTTCAACTGTATCATCAGTTTCTTCAATATTGGCTGCTTCATCATCTTCACAACTTGACAACTATATATAACAAAGAAATATAGTTAGTAATAGTTAAATTGATAAAATAATACACATTAAAAAATAGGAAATAAATCAAACAAGTATGCCCAGGTTACTTGCTACAGTCCAACAATGGAAGACTGGTACCCAAAAATAGAAAACGGCCCAAAATTGATATAAAATAATAGTTATTCCAATTTTAATTATTACACAGGCAATATCGTCGCCGCGGAGGTCAAGGGAGCCAAGCCATAATTTTATCGAAATTGGAGTTAGGTGCATAGGATGTATTTAAAACCCTCAAAAAATGCCGTGGTCAAACGATTTGAGCAATAAATGTCTACTTATATACTATTTTAAAATTCGCCAATAGATCTAGCACACACACCTTAAAACAGTCAATGACAATAAGCCGCTTGTATTCAGTGACTTCCATAATTTATTTATCCCTATCTTAAAAGAATTCGAAGTCAACAGATCTGAGTGGCGTATCTCTGTTGACCACTCAATATAATGTAATCAACCCCCGCATCGGTTAGATTTAAATGGTTTTTACACTAATGATATCTTACCCTTACTAAGCAAATTTAACAAGAATTTAATATGAAAATGTATCTTTTATCAGCCGTGTGGTTTAGCTATCCAGCTATAGCTATATAGCTATACATAATTTTCTCTCTCTTAAATAGATTAAAAACCATGCAATGGAATTGCATGATTTTCTACAGATCTACAGATCTTCACAGCAAATCTACAATGTAGATCTGCTGAGGCTAACAAAAACAGTTTAACACATTTTTTAAATGAAAATGACATTGATGTTGCCTTGGAGTGAGACATGGTTTAAACCCGATAAACAATATAATTTTAAGGGTTATAAGATTATTCGTCGCGACCGATATGATGGCTACGCGGGAGTGGCTATACTTATAAAATCAATTCTTCTTTTTGAAGAAATTTGTATTACACAAAATTTTAATAACGATATACTGGTTTGTGGAATCACTTTAAAATTTAGTAACTCTGATATTAATTTTGCTTCAATTTATAGACCTCCAGATATTCGATCGACTTCCAAAGATTGGTGTAAAATTTTGGAACAATTTAATTTTCCTTGCATTATAGGTGGTGATATGAATGCGCATAACAGCTTGTGGGGTTCACTTAAGAATAATGGCATTGGACACCAACTTATTAATGCCATTGATACTCTTGATTTAGTTATTCTTAATAATGGCAAAGCAACCTGTCTGACCCGCCCGGATGTGAAACAATCTAGTGTTGATATTTCGTTGTGCTCTCCTTATTTAGCAAAAGAAATTATGGGACGTCTTGGATGACGACAAATGGAATGTTAATAAAGCTAATTGGACCCAATATTCTGATCTGATTGAATAAAACTTTCTTAACTATTCGGACAGCTTGTCTACCTCAGAGAAACATGACTTCCTAATGGAAAGTATTAATAATGCATCTTCTTAGCCAATTCCGACATATAAACCCTTTAAAATTATTAAACAACCACCTCCTCCGTGGTGGGATTTTGAATGTAAACAAGTTTATGACAGGAAAGATGCTTTAAAACATATAAAAATAACTCTAGTTTCACTAATTACGTACGATATCAGGAAGTCATGGTTAAAACAAAAAAAGTTCTAAAACGAAAAGCCAAAGAAAGTTGGAAAAACTGGTGTTCATAATTAAATAAAAATATGCATATTAAAAATGTGTGGAATGAAGCAAGAAAAATGCAAAGGAAGTATACTCCAAGTATTAATCATTTTAATGATGAATTGATTTAAGAATTTTTTGACAAAATAGCACCTCCATCAGTTAATACTGCTATAGAAATTCAAAATAATACTAAAACTTCAAGTCACTTTCTTCTAAATCCATTTACACGGGAAGAACTTGACTTTGCGCTAACTAATAGGTCTAAGACCGCTCCGGGCTACGATGATAATAAATATCCTATGCTTAAAAAACTTCCAAAAATAGCAAAAAACGTTTTACTTGATATTTTTAATGATATTCTTTTTAAAGATGCAGAAATTGATGTATTAAGAACTGTACAATCATATAGGCCAATCTCTTTGATGTCGTGTGTTTTGAAGACTTTGGAAAGAATTATCAAAGTTACTTAGACTAGAATGGTGAATAACTTATAATAAGTTAGCTTGTCAAAATCAATTCTCTTTTAAAAAAGGAGTTGGTTCTCTAGATGCTCTTAGTATTCTCGTGGTAGACATAAACAATAATTTTGGCAGAAACAATTACCTTTCTGCGCTTTTTATAGACATAGAAAGTGCGTATGATAATATATGCCTCCCCATTTTAAGAGATAAGATGTTGAAATTATTTCATATTCCAAATCAGGTAGTCAACATGATTATTAAATTCTACACTAATAGAAAAATATTTTAAAGAAATTTTGATAACACAATTGTAGGTCCAAGAAATAACAACAATGGACTTCCACAAGGCTCAGTTTTAAGCCCTTTTCTCTTTAATTTGTATACTGCTGACTTACATAAATTAAGTTTTAATCACATTCCGTTTAAAATAGTACAGTATGCAGATGAGCTCTGCATATATACTGAAAATAAGAAATTTAATACCACTATGGCTTCTCTCAAAGACATCTTTGGTGTTGTTCATGAATGGTTAATATTAAATGGATTTCAGATTTCCCACTCCAAGTCTGAAGTTTGTGTTTTCAGTAGACACAACATACCTAAATAAAGTTACATTGTCCTAGGTTCATATAATTTTTCCATTAAAGACTCCATTAAATATCTTGGCATGGTACTTGATAGGAAATTGACATGGAAAATGCATATTAATTACATGTTAGACTGATGTATAAAGGGTTTAAATTTTTTAGAAATGGTTACTAAGAGTTGGTGGGGAGCTGGCATTGAAACCGCCTTACTATTCTATCGTGCCTATATCAGATCCATATTGGATTATGGATGTATCTTGTACGGCTCTGCTAGTTCACAGATTTTAAACAAAATAGATATCTTGCAGAACTCAGTCCTACGTGTATGTCTTGGTGCCATGAAAACAACCCCAGTCGAACCTTTTCATGTAGAAGCTATTGAGCCTAATTTAAATCACAGGAGGCATTTCCTTGCAGACAAATTTCTTCTTAAAATATCCAGAACCAACAATAATCTATATTCAAATATAGTAGTATTAAATGAACAAGATTTGACAAATAAATATTGGTTGAAGAAAAATTCTCCACTACTGTGTATCACACTTCAATCTAATCAAAATATCCTTAGTGATTTATATGATCCCAGCTCAATTTTATTAGATTTTTATGATTACAATGCATTGTTTCTAAATATAAAGATTGTAAAACTTTCATATAGCGACAATTTTCACATTAACATTAACTTATTATACTCAATACTTGCAAGCTTCGAGGAATCTGTGGCAATATATACTGATGATTCAAAGTCCAAGGATGGTGTGGGATGTGCTTTTTATATTCCCTCCAAAAATATACAAACTAGATAACATATTTTCTATATTTAGTGCTGAAGCTATTGCAATCTATGAAGCGTTGACATTTTTATCACAGTCTACAATTGATTCTGCAATAATTATATCGGACTCCCTGTCTGTTTTAAATTCCTTGGTTTTGGCAAAATACCCAAGTTACTGCTCCAACAAAAAGATTAATTTTGTATGGATTAAAACACATATCGATCTCGAACATAACAAGTATGTGGATAGGCTGGCAAAAAAAAGTGTGAAAAATGGTTTGACCAATAAACTACCTGTAAGTTTTTGTGATGCAGTAGCTTATATTAGAATGAATTATTTCAATATTTGGAACGAATGTTGGTCACAACATACTTATACCAATCCTTCTAGATACTGCAGTATATAAAATCAAACACTGAATAAAACGTGGTTATACATATATATATATATATATATATATATATATATATATATATATATATATATATATATATATATATATACCTTTTATCCTATGTTAATTTTAGCTCTTAAAGCATATTATTCAGCTCTTTGTTATTGATATTTTATGGACCTTACGGTCATAAATTTTTTATGTTTAAGATAGTAGTCATGTTGTAATAGACTGATTGATTCAGTTTTTCAATTTCTTGAAAATGTATTTGCGTGCGAAATCAAGGTTAATTAAATAGCTTTAAATAGTTTTCACGAAAATAAAGAAAATCGAGATAATCTCAAAAGTAAGTGAAATATTAATTTTTATTTTATACTACTTGTTTGTATTGATACCTAGTACCTGACAAATCTTTGTGCATTTAGCATACCTTTCCTACACTTTTAGGGTCCTTACAGATGTAAATGAAAGGATGAACTGTAGGTAATGATGCTGGTTTATTTGGCACATTTACCTATATTTGTAAACTAATTGATTAAAATTTTAATTTTTTTAATTTTTAATTTTTAGTTAAAATTTAAAAATGAAATTTAAAGATTCCGATCAACCTGGTGTACAAGCACAATCTGTTGAATCTTTTGAAATATCTGGATGAGACGAATATGTAGAGCTCCATAATTACTCACTCAGTATACCAATTGGAGGACGTACTCAGGATATAATACAAGCACAGTATGTGGATGTGGACGAAAGAGCTGATCAAGCTGAGTATGCAGAGCTTAAAAATGTGACACTAGATAATATTGATATTATACACAATGAGGACTTAAACTTGGCACCGGAGTTTCAAGATCTACACCAAGTAGCACCCCATCTACCTGCAATTCAACAAGACCCTAATATGACTGGATCATCTACATCTGTAATCTCCTTTAACAAGGACAATGCTCAAAATTGGAAACCTCAAAACAGTCAAGTCCTTATAGCAGAAACTTCCAGTTCTTCTGATAATGAAGGCAATAGTATAATACCATGTTCCGCCACTTCTACAAACCCAGCTGAAGAACTGTTATCTCGAAAACAAAAGCGAAACCCAAACAACTAAGTAGAAGAGAAATTCACAAAAAACATTGAGAATGGCAGGCAAAGAATATCAAAATAGAACAGGGAATAACATTTCGGCTAGGATGGTTAGAGATGTTACCGTTAAATGCCATTATAAGTGCAATACCAAAATAGAAAAAACACAGCGTGAGCAAATGTTAAGTGAATATCTGGATTCAGATATTCATGAAAGTCTGGATTCTGAGAGATCAAGATAGGTAGTTACAATAATAAGCCAGGTAATTATAAATAAGTCTCAAGCAGACCAGGGAAAAATGAGGAAGATAAAAGTTAAATGGATCCAGTAATGTAAAAGTTACCCCAAAACTATTTATTTTAAATATAGATTAAATGACAACGAATTCGACTCACTGAAAATTGAAAAAAGACAGCGCAGAAGAGTACTTTAAAGTATCAAGGTTATATCTATCGAAGCCTAAAAAAACAAAAATAAATTAAAAGATGTTTTAAAACTATGTGAAAATGGGAGTGTTCCGTCTACATATAACAAGTTTTATGGAAGCTTGGAACCAGAAGATGAAGATGGACAAGAAAATCCTGATACAGAGAGTGATGAAGAAGATTAATTAGTAGTAATAGTAGTGTGTCTATCAGATGACAAATATTACAGGTGTAAAAAATATTTAAAAAGCATATAAGGATCGATTAATTTAAGCCTTTAAGCATATTAGTCTAGTTCCGGATTTTATAAATTTATTGTCGTTTTTCTTTTTATTAAGTATTTGAGTTAATAAATTTTGAGCACCTAAATGCGAGAATTTTTATAATATCACTTATTAACATGTACTGATAACAAGATTAACTGATATTGTAGATTATAACAAAATTTAGAAGCTTTTCTACTAATGGTCAGTTTCTCACCCAATAATTCTAAGGCTTGATGCCTTTGACTGCCACACAAGGGTCTAACTATTATGTTACTGTTCAGTGGTCAAGAAGTCTAATACACATATCTTTTGAAGTAACAACTTAAACAGGAAATAGTACAACAAAATGAATATTTTGAGAAATGGAAATCAAATGTTCAATGATAAAACTGTTGTTTTCATAAAATTGCAATATAGAGGAAAAATTTGGTGTTAGTTATATTGAGTTCATTAGTAAATATAAGGACAGAATAAAGTGTCAGGGACAGGAAGGTATTTGCAAATATAACACAAGATATTTATTATATTCTCAATTAAAAACATATCTTCAATGATGTAACAATACTGATATTTTTTTGACTTGTTTTGTAGTAAATTCATGTAAAAATATATGTACTTAAGTCCAGAAAAAATCAACTGAAAGTTTTGAAATTAATTTGTTGTGGATAGGAGGTATTGTCAGCATATTTTTTACAGATTATGAGATATTATATGGATATTTTGGTTTAAGGCTGATGAATAAGACATTGGCTGAAAGAAATTTGTTTAATTAATATTGGAAAGAATATTAATCAAAAATAATAAAAAAACATTTTTTATTAGGTACAAATGTAAAAAATGACATAAGATTCTTAATTGTCCTCATAGGAAAGTTAGTCATAATAGGGATGACAATCTTTAGGAATAACACTTTTTAGTTCTTGTTAAATTTTTGTTAATTTCAACTTTTCACTATATATCTTTACATAATGTTCTATGGGGACCATTGTCTTTAATCTACAAGGTAGATTAAGCCAAGGATTATCTGTATCAACCACTTGTGAATAACTTGTGTGAACCAATAACAGCTACAGTCATTGTTAGCAACATATACTTAAGGGGTGAAGTTATGAAAGCTTAATTTGGTTTTGAAGTAAATTGCAGTTGCATTCAAATGAGGAGCTGTTTTTAGAAATTGTAAATTCATTGTTACCATAATCAAACCATTTCATTTAACCATTTCTCTGTCACATTCCTACTCTTGTCTTATTTTTTCTTTCATTGCAACATTTTTTTGCCAACCTTCATTGTTCGAATTTCCATTCACAATTAATACATAAATTACACTGACCATCCTTAGGCTGGTATAAGCTAAAGTTATTCATTTTGAAATATTTCTTAAATATAAATCTCCCTAAAGCTTCGGTTTGAGCTTTTTATTACACTCTGCTTAATAAACTTTAAAAACTTGTTTTATAGAAGTAAAATTCTCCTCTACATAAAGCTTATTCTAATCTTTCCTTACATAATGCAACTGTTGTTTAGGAATTTTGTCAAAAAATTGCTAAGACATTTTTTCAAAGATTTAAACCAGTCTGATTCTGTGATTTTTATCTATTCTGGACTTATTCAAGTCGACTTATTCAGTAGTCAGTTTCAGGTTGCATTGTATATTTCAATTCTTTTAATCAATTTTGCACAGTAAAAGATCCTAAGGCAAGAGTATTCAAAAACATAGGAGACTCTAAAGAACCATATTTGAACTTTAAATAGGTTCTAAAAATAGCACACAATATATAAACGCACAATCAGAAGTAGAATTCTCAATATAAATTTAACATGCGATTGACTGATATACTTTAAAGTGAGATATATTTCACATCAACAACAACACTATAGTTTTTGTTAGGGTTTTCATCTTTTCACTATTTTCTTAATATTACTCACCTCATCCTCATCACTATCTTCTATTTCTTCATTACCTTCAATATTTTCTAATTGTTGATCAAGTTCTTTAGCTTCCAGGCTTTGATTCATTTCTTCTTCAGATTCTTCATCTTCACTCTCACTACTATCAATTGCCAAAGAATTTTTTCCTGGTAATTTATTACAAAATGTACTTAACAGATTGTCTAAATCAGCAGGCTCTTCTTCAGATGTGGATAAATCTTCTTCAACGTCTTGCTGATTTTGTTCAACTTTTCGTTGCTTTTGAGAAGGTTCATCTATATGTTTATTATCCACAAACTTTCTTTTATTCTTAGTTCCATATAAACTATAAGATTTTCTGGGTTTAATATTTTTTTTGTTTTTAATTTTTTTATGTTGTATATTGGGTTTCTTAACAACATCTTTGTATTTTATTTTACCACGTCGAGCCATTATTTCTTTTATGGCAAATAAAAGTTTTTACCAATAGCAATCAATAATAATTTTCTTTTATCAATATTTTGGTAAACTTAAACAACTAAAAAGACACGTTACAAATGTGAGGTTAAAGAAAAGAAAAACATAAGCAACTTAGCAACTTATATGAAGTTAGCAACATTTTGCAGTGGCGGTTCACGAGTCTGGAAAGAGGTGGAGCAAATCCTGTCTGACCCATAAGCACAGAATAATAAACAATCAGAATGCCCACTCTGCTTGAAAAAATAAGTACGCGTATCGAGCGCGCAGACGGAATCAGCCATATTTTAAACGAAACCAGTGCTGTTCAGTGACATTTTATCTGGTGTACATAGAAAACTTAACCTGGTTTAATTTATTGACGGCAAATATAGACATAATATGCAGTACTTTATTCGTACTTGTCGCACCACCAAAAAACTACCCGTTTTAAGAGGTTTGCGTATGTTGGATTTGGTTTTTTGTTTGTATACATACAGAATTAGTTACAGTTATTTAAAATTATATTTATTGACATACTTCCATACTTGCAATAACAACAAACAATGACGTATAATATATAGACTCGGTGAACGCTTTAAAAAGTGTCCAAAACATGAATACCTTTGTTATTGTTTATTATTTTGATACGAAGATGCACGAAGTTCATGATTTCTTACGAAGCATCACGAAGTTGATCTTGTGTTTGAAAACATCATGGACGTACTCCATTTTGTGTGACAAGCAAATTTTATTTTAAATTGTTGATAGTTATTTACTTACTATTTTAGTAAAATGCCATACTATTTTATCAAAATAATTATTTCTCTTATAGACGGGAACAAAAAGAAATCATAAATATTTAATTTTAATTAAAAAAATAATTATTGTCATATAAATGAGCACGCCGCTGTTCTAATAAACATACCTTCAACCTTGAGCCGAGATCTTTCGGACACTCGATTCTATAGAGAGAATAGGGGACTGCGTAGTCTATATATTATACGTCATTGACAACAAACCAGTACCTAACCTAACCTTCTTGTCTATGAACCATCGAGCAAAAAGACAATAGAGGGAATGTAAAGGTAGTGGGGGCAAACATATTGTTAGACAGGAAGTGCGATCTTTAGAGGCCACTTTAAACAAGGATAGAGAGTCTCTCTCCTTGTTTGACATCAAATTTAGTTGGGTTATGTTATTGTTTGTCCCAAATGTCACATGAAATCTTATTTATATTGAAGTTTTTTAACAATTGTGTCGCATTTTAGACTCTTATCATTAATAATTAATTAAAACTTTCTCGTCTAAGACACATTCTGAAAAATATTATATAGCTACTGTTGATAAGTGTCGGAAAATTTAAATTTCGCGCATTCGCATTTCCGGATATGTCCGCCATCAGAGGCCACTTTTTTTGTCTCCTTTTCATAAGGATTAGATTCCCTCTTTTGTCTTATTGCTCGATGCTATGAACCCAGTGCAACAACCACTTAACATTCATAGCATACTTCATAGTCTATTATTTTTCTTCTTTTTCGTGGCCCAATACCACTAAGCCTTTCATCCACCAAATTGTTTCAGGTAAAGGTAATATCTGACATACTCCCACCTGAGGAATATTCTGATAAAATAAAATATTGCTCACAAAATCTAAAAGAGAAATGCTACAAAACCATTATACAAAAAATTAAAAATGGCTAATAGGTACAGTTTTTGACAATCACTACTCTAAATAGCGTTTAGGCAATTTAGAAGCCCGTCCCGTACGTGTGATTTTCACTTCAGAAACCTTTGCACTATTTGTCGGAATACTGACTTTAAACACTCCCGCACCCTCAAAATATTCGTCTTCGGAACTGAAGTCTCTTGCAGCCAACTCAGGAACATGTGGGGTACCATTTAATTCACCGTTATCCTTCATTGACGTCTTCACATCATTCCGAAGCTCGAACTCAGGAACAGTACAACACTCTAGTGGGTAAAGACGCTGGACAGGTCTCAATAAATATCCCTTAGCTGTCTTAACTTTGCACAGTCGAACACTTCCATCTTTACCAGGAAAAAGTTCAACAACTCGTCCCATAGGCCAATCTAAACGTTTACTGCCATCGTTGCCGACAAGCACAATTTCATTAAGTGTGATCTGGCGGTGAGTTTTATTCGCGTAAACTAGTTTTAACTGTCCAAGATATTCCAAACGGAATCGCTTACGAAGTTCCTCTCGCAAAGTCTGAACCCGACGCACTTTCCGACACAATGAAGCATTGTCTATAGCATCACAATCTGGTAGCCCCCAGTCCACCTGATCCCGCAAAAACATCGCTTGTGTCAAGGCAACTAACTCTTGAGGATCCTCCGATAGATACGTTAATGGTCGTGAATTAATTATTGCCTCACACTCACATAACAACGTTAGCAAAGTCTCATAGTCCAAACTAGCACGACCTAGTGTTTTTCTCAACAACTGTTTCATAACACCAATGAGGTGCTCCCAGATCCTCCCCACCAAGCTGCGGCAGGTGGATTAAAATGCCAACGAATACGTTGCACAGACATCTCACGAGTAATACTGTCCCAGTCCAGACATGATAAGGCATTTTCAGCACCCACAAAACGCGTACCGTTATCACTATAAATCGTTTTCGACCTACCACGACGAGACACGAACCGACGTACCTAAGGCCTGAAGAAAATTAGAAGTTGATAACGAACAACAGAGTACCAGATGAACCGCCCTGAAGATCGCACACGTGAACATACAAATCCAAACTTTTTCACCGGTCTTAAGGAACAGCGGTCCCGCAAAGTCAATACCGGTCACTTCAAAAGCTACAGCATCACGCACTCTGTTAGCCGGTAAAGGAGGAGTATGAACTGTTAGGTGTTTTCCAGTGTACCTCCGGCACAATCCACTACGCCTTCCTGAGAGAACCCAAAACTTTTCTCTGAGCAAACTTAAAGTACCTTGGGTCCCAACATGACAAGACTTCAAGTGATAATACCTAATTAACTTAATGGTTATCTCATGTTTAGATGGCAGTACGACTGGCAAACGGTAATACTGTGTATCTTCTCTGTTACAAACTCTAGATCTCAATCTAATCAAACCCCCTTCTTCATAAAATGGGTCAAGATTATTAATCCTTTTATCATCCACACCTGAGAAGCTTTCCTGCTGCAATTTTATCAAAATAAATTTCTCTGCATTCTCAAACTCTTCAGAGGTTAACTCACCTTTATACTTCTGGTCACCTTTGCGACAATTTTTTACAAAACGTTGAATCTAAGCCACCCTTCGTACCATCTTAGTATATTGTGAAAAGTAGCTAAAATGCCAGTCACACGAATTATAAACATTAACAAGAGATGTCACCAAAGTCTTTCTACGCTCTGCATTAACTTCTTCTTCATCACAAGTAGCCGCACTAGAAGGCCACTTATCACGGCTTTCATATAACCACTTTGGCCCCTCCCACGATCTCGATTGAAACAAATGTCTAGACGTGCACCCTCGTGATGGCAAGTCTGCAGGATTAACCACTCCTGGTAGGTGACGCCAGTTTTCCATTGAAGTTAAGCTACGGATTTTTTTAACTCTGTTCCATACAAAAACTCCCCATTCTTTGAGTTTCTCCCCATTCTTCTCTCCCCAGTTTAATTAATTTAATCTTGCCCAAGTACTTTTGATCCCTAGATCATCTTCAGGGGCATTTCGTCAATTGCAGCCTATCCGACAAGAATAAAATGTCATAAACATGAAATGGTACATCACACTACACTACACAAGGACAAACAAACACTTTAAAATTTTTGAAAAATAAGCGAAGCTACATTGTGTACAGAACTCGGAGACAGAATGACATCATTCTGTAAGGTTTAAATTAAATAAAAATATATTCAAAATAAATAAATAACAAAATAAAATTACATCCTAGGTAATACACATACAATAACAATTAAAACATCAATTCTGGAGACGACAGCATCAACGGTGATATGACCCACTGTTTAATATCTGCGAAAAATAAAATACAGATAATGACATTAAATCTAATCAGTAATTAAGGTGTGTTAATACACACTCAGGAAGGGACGTGTCAAAGGAATAGAGATAAATGGCAAATCAACACTCGGCCTGGCGAAGATTGGACCGTTACTGATCAGTATTCACTGTCTGAAAAAATAGGTCTGTATCAGATCAATACACCAAGACCGGGTACGGAACTTCCACTAGATCAATAGTCCTGCAGACTCAGTTAGCCTTTAATCAATACACTAGGACCAGTGGAGGTTGTTATCAGATCAATACTCTGACGGAACTCTATTTCATCTCCTATAGCGCACGGGATCGGGGCGATGCATATCGTTACACTTAATAAAAGCTTAGAAGCATGAAACAGTGCCGACGTGGTCTGTCTGTCCAATGACAAGTTTTGTCATTGCTGAGTTTTGAATTCAGGTAAACCCGGCCCATTGGACAGAGATGCAGAGACTTCTTTGCGTCAGTTTTTTCTGTTGCACTGGGTGAGCGCGACTGTAATGCAGCAGTCAGTCAACCTTTAAGATTTATCTATGATCCTAACGTAATACTAATTCGTACCTCATTTTCCCATTTTTTCATTTTCTCTAATTACAACCCCTCATCCAATTCTAATACCTACTCAAAAAAGTTAGTAAAAAAGGATCCTTTTTGAAACAAATTTGCAAGATCTAATTTGACCGAACACACACAATGCATGCTTTAGTAAAATAGGCTTGCCTGAAACAGATGTTTTTGTCGATGAGGTCTTCATAAAACGGATGTGTATTTTTCAGTTCGTTCTGTAGATTTGATAAGTTTGAACGTCTATCTTCGGTCATTGTGTTACGCAGATAGGTTTTTATCTTCTTGAGCCACGAAAACCTCCGTTCTACCGAGACACTTGTGGATAGAATGCTCAGAATCAAGCATATTATGTATAAGCTTATTTGAAAATAGAACTAAATCTATTCAATATTTTTAGAAGATTTTCTGATTTCATTCCTATATACGGGTCGTCATTGTATAATAGTTGAAATTCATTCTTCAGCAATTGCAAATCAGTAAACAAATCCGTAGGGAATTT